CATGGCAATCATAACCCACCTCTCCAAGAAACTTGCCTCCACTAGATCCCATATTCCCTTTTAACCCTCAATTTCCAAAAACTGTTTCACATGCATGGGTTCTGCGATTTGGGAACACTTGATGCAAGGGGATTTTGGAATTACTGATAAACTAATGGATGATTAAAGAAACAAATAGAATATTTAATTCCTTACAAGGTTGTGGAATTTTGGAATGGAGAAAGGAACGCGCAAATTATTATATAAGGGAATTAAGAGAACTAAAAACGCCACATTTTCAAAAAAAACTTACCCCATTCAAAGGGCAAAAAAAAAAGAGAAAAAAAGCATTAGCCAGGAAACAAAAATTGGGTCGTCATCGACATCCCTTTCCTTGCCTTTCAACATTTCCGCCACATCTTAAAAAAAAAAAAATTCCAATGTTTTTAGGCTTACATTCCATTACCAAAAGCCAAAAACTTTCAACTGAAGGTCAAAATGAAGGGAGGTGGAGAGACAAAAGAAAATGTTTGGATATGAGTCCAGGAGAAAAAGCAACTTTCAGGAACCACAATGAATCATTCTAGAAATTATGAGAGGAAGATTTGAGAAGGATTAGAGAAGTAACTGAAAGGGAAAACGAGAGAAAGGCCGTAGAAATTCTCCATTAAACTGTGCTGAGTTGTTTTTATGTTAAAGATGAGTTGGCTTACTTTAATGAGGTATAAACGTTTGATTGGTTCGGGATACCATGTCAGCTGTATATGGGTGATACATTAGAATTTCTCACAACAACACAATAATGTGCTACCGCAAATATTTTTTGAACGGTATACAATTTTTGGAAATGAGAAAATGAGATTTTCAAGAGTACAGTGAGGCTCGAAATTTCGATTAACAAACTTAAACGTTTAAAGGTTTAGAGCGAATTATTAGGATCCAAAAGCTGGGTTCGCGTTATTGTAAATATAGTAAAGTATTTTTCTAGAAAAGTAATTATTATTATTTTTAATTTAAATTGCATAATGAGATATAGTTTTTAATTTTTAACTTACATTTATTTATATATTATGTAATTTAAATTTAAAATTTTTTATTTTTATCAAAAAAAAATATTATTAAACTATTTAAATCATTAATTTCAAAAAAGTAATTGTAAAGTGCAAGAATTAAAAAAGATATTTTAAATAACTAATTTAATTTTATATATTTGGTTTTCAGTTATGTGATCCGTATGGCTGTGGAGGAACAAATTGATTTTCAAAGAAGAAAATGACAATTTAGCTACTGTAGTAGATTTAATACTTTACCATGTGGTTCATTGAGTTGCGCTTCTCAATGAGAAGGGATGGCGCTCATCCTCATTTGAGGATCAAATCCTTAATTTCTAACAAATAATTAACCTAACCTACTAATTATTATTTTTGTCAAAAAATAAAAATAAAATAAAAGAAAGTTACGTTCGTGGGTGAAAGCCAAGCTAAATGAAGGAATGCCCAAAGATCTGTGGATTGAGAATCCCAGGGAAGCATGTAAACGAACAAAAACTATCTACGAAATTTGTTTGGATCTGTTTTGAGTAATGTAATTCGAATAACTTTTGTGGTGATGTAATGGATTAAAGTACTTTTCATGCTCTTATTTTAATTTTAATAAACTTAATTTTATCGATAATAAAAATATTAACTTTACATTCTACATAAAAAAATAATTAATTTTTTCATTTTAAATTTCAATTTAAGTCTATTCTTTTCTTTGTTGACCAACAATTCAGCTCTGTTTACTTAGTTTTATGGTTGGGTAATGATATTTGGGTTGAAATTCTGAGGTCAAACTAAGGGTTCATCGTTGCTAATTCCTTCTAAATTGTTTTCGCTCCCCCTCTTCCCGCGATCCCTGTCGGCCGCCCTATACCATTTCTTCTCCTTCCCTTCCTTCACTACTAGTCCACCAGTGAATAGAAGTTTTGCTCACTTTTTTTTTTTTTGGCTACCGGTTCTGCTGCTATTGATTTTTATAAGTGATTAGAATCTTATTTGAGATAAGTTGAACTTGAATTACTTACTAATGGTTAAGTTTTTAATTAGGTCTATATTTGCTTTCTATGTGAAATTTGATTATATTGTGTTTAATTTTTACATGGAATTTAATTTTTAACAAAACAAAATGCTGTTTTTGAAATAATAATAATAATAATAATAATAAGGAATTTAATGGCATTTGCAATTTCTAAACAGCTTAGTAGGTTTGTGTTTGATTCATGTGTTTTTTATTTTCTTGACCCAACATGTAGTCAATATTCCCTATAGAAGGGGAATTGGTCTATGGTCGAGTCCTGTGACCAAAAATCTTACGTCCTTTGTTTTCTCAACTTAATGTCTGACTTCACAAGCTTTTAAGTTTGATTGTATTTTTGTCTCTATTAGTTTAAATTTGATTTCTTAGCTAACATTTGTTTTTAGTTTCTCAACCAATGTTGTTTTAATTTCAAAGCATAATATTCTCTATGTTCAACCTCTTAACAAGATATGCTTTATCTATCATAGGTTATATTTATTTTTACTCTTTTTAATATAGGTTTTTTAATCTTTTAGTTGTATATTTATAGTTTATTTTATTGATTTGTTCATTTTTTTTCATTGGTTAAATACCAATTTTAATCCCTCAACCTTAAGATTTAATTTGTGTAATTTTCGTTCATTAATTTTTTTATACATTTTTTTAATCCAACAACTATGAAAAATATATTTTTTTAGTTCTTTCATTAATCAGTCCGTTAAATTTATTTAAATATGTATATTTTTAATCTCTTAATTTAGAGTTAAAGGATGAAAAATATGCATATATTAGAAGTTAAAAGATTAAAAATGTATTTATTTAGATAAATTTAATGGTTTAATTGATTGAAGGATTAAAAAAATATATTTTTCATAATTGAAGGATAAAAAATATGCATAAAAAATTAAAAAATAAAAATTATATAAAACTTTAAAGTTAATGAACCAAAATTAACATTTAACATTTTTTTCATTTGTAGAAGTCCAAAAAGTCTGTAATAGGTTTCATACTTACGATTATAAAC